ACCACCGCCACCTCCACTGCCACCCCCACTTGCCCTGCCACCCTTGCCGCCCCTGCCGCTGCGACGCTTCCCACTAGGAGCGGAAGCAGCCCTGACCTCCTTAGCACCAAGGTAGTCGTGAGCAGCAGCTGCGGAGGCGTAGGAGGGGGTGAGAGGGGAGGGGGAGCACCCCTCAAAGAGGGGAGAGCGAGGAGTGCCACGAGCAGCACCTACAGCGAGGATGTTCTTCTCTGCTGCAAAGAGGTGCTTCTCGAAGTCGTCGATAGTGAGAGTGGGGGGGTCTAGCGCTAGGAAGTGGTCCTTGACCGAGCTAAGAGTGTCAGGGAGGCGCGTAACGAGGAAATAGAGGGTGAAATACATCGGGGGGGGGGGGGGGGGGTTTGCGGCGCAGAACTCGGCTGAGAGGGCGGCACGAAAGCGAGTGTCAGTAGCGCGCAGGTGGGAAATGAGGTCCTCAGCAGTGGTGAACGAGGAAAGGTCGGGGAACAGGTAGGGTAGCATGAGTCGGCCTATGGCTGCAGTGGCCGGGGAGGAGTAGCGCGCAACTACAGCGTCGTACAGTGTCTTAGCAGTTTTGTGCTGGCTGAAATGCGCGCGCTCAGCGATCGGCAGATGGTTCCTAATAGCTAGGCGTGCAGCAGCATCGTGAGTCTGCCACTGCGAGCGTTCGAGAGCAGGAGCATCGGCAGCAGGAGCAACGGCAGTGCCAGACACGTAATCGAACAGTGAAACGCCCTCTTTGGCATCGGTCAGAAGGAACAGTTGCAGGTCGTCTAGCCACACAGCGAACTCTATGGGGCGACCGTCAGGTTCGAACGCGAGAACATTACGCGTCGTCATAACGGCAGCAGGCAGTAGACAGCAGGCTAAGACAGAGGTAGTAGGCAGTAGACCGGAGGCAGCAGGCAGTAGACAGCAGGCAGTAGACAGCAGGCTAAGACAGAGGCAGTAGGCAGTAGGCAGTACAGGCAACGTGCAAGGCAGTAGCTTGCTGCACGTGAGCTCCTAAGGTGGGGCTCTAGACAGTAGCAGGCCGCACAGTTCTAAGGCAACGAGCTCGGCAGCAGTGAGCCTCACAGGCAGGTACACGAGTAGGGCGCGCGTGGCTGCTGGCTGCGTACGGCTAAGGGCTGCGCGCGGCTCTCTGCTGCGCATGGCTACATGCTGCGCGCGGCTCCTGGCTGCACGTGGCGATGGGCAGCGCGCGCGGCTGCGGGCTGCGTGCGGCGACGGGCCTAAGCAGGCTGTGCGCGGGCGGCGTAAGGGGCGCGCGAGCTCTACGCGGGCTGCGCAAGCAACGCGGGCCGGCGCGCGGCTCTGCAGCAGTGGTGCGCGCTATAAAAAAGTGACGCGCGCGCTAGAAACCGAGGCGCGCGCGGAAAAAAAAAAAAAGTGACGCGCGCTGCAGCCGAGGCGTGCGCGAGCAGTAGGCAAGGCAGGCAGTTAGGTGGGCCCGACTCGTAGATCCTAGAGACCTCTTGCTCTAGTTACCATGTTAAGAACTAAGGCAAGGATGATGGAATTAGGTGAAGGGGTGGGTACAAGACTAGGGTATCGGGAAAGTTTCTGTACCCCCTAGTGCTAACCCCCATACAGCCTAGATAACCTAAACAATTATATATATAATTTGACAACAAGAAGCTCCTACCTAGTTACTAAAGCTCCTTCAACCTTCGTCAAGCTCCCTCTCTCCTCTCAAGCTTCAAGAGTATTATCAAGGCTAGTTCATCCCTTGGTGGGATTAGTTTAATCTGTCAGAATCAGCAGTAGAAAGTAAGAATGAAGAAAGGAGGGGGATTCACTAGCAAGCAGTTGGATACAAATAGCAAACCCTAACTGGGTTGTACTCGCTATAGAGCACCCCACCGCAGGCTAGATAATATAACATTCTGACACACCCCCATAGCCAAAGTGGGGTGTAATCAGCACAACAAGCAAGCATAGTAATAGTTCACAATTATAAGCAAAGCTAGAGGTAATCACAGAGGGCAAGTGAGGAGGAGGAGGGACTGTACGAGGATAGAAGATGGGAGACGACGGCTGAAGTAGCAGACACACGGGCAACAGGAGCGGCTGGCACAGTGGCTACCGGGACAGCGCCCCGGACTACTGGAGTAACTGGCTCACGGGCTACGAGGAGCTACAGGAGCAACGGACCCACGGGCGACAGGCGCAGCAGGCTCTCTGGGCTACCAGGACAGCGCCCCGGACTACAGGTGTTGCGGACGACAAGACGGCAGCCTCCTCTCAGCCTCCCCAAACAGTCCCACCCCCCCTGACACACACCCCCTGCTTAACCCCTAGCTCCACTCCCCCTTCACCCCCCTAGCACCACTCCTTCGGCTCCCCACACACACACCCCCCTGAGCGGCAGCTGCAGCAGTGGGAGACGGAGGAGGAGGAGTAGGGGACGGCGCACACAACGGGCACCCCCACAACTGCCAACCCCACACTCCTCAGCCCAAAACCCTAAAACGGGTTGCAGGGGGCAGGAGCGCGGGGGGAAAGCGGGGGGGACGGCGCGCGGCCCCCAGGGCGCCACCACGGGGCAGTAGGGGGCCGCGCGTGGCTCCCCAGGGCGGCGCGACGGGGCAGTGGGGGGTCGCGCGCAACTCCCTTGGGCGCCGCGACGGACGGGCGGGGGCAGCGCGCGGCTCCCCAGGGTGCTGCGACGGACGGGCGGGGGCCGCGCGCAACTCCCCAGGGCGCCGCGACGGACAGGCGGGGGCAGCGCGTGGCTCGCCAGGGGGCGCCAGGAAGAAGAAAGGGCCGCGCGCCCCCCGGGCGCGCGCCACACAGGAAAACCGCCGCGCGCATCAGACGCGCGGCAGGAAGAAAGGGTAGCGCGCTCGGGGCGCGCGACAGCAGTAGAGCAGCGGAAGCTTTAGGTGGTGGGCCCACCCACAGGATCGACCCAGGAGGGTCGACCTGCTCTGATAGCATGTTGTGAAACTAACACAATAGGTAGTTAGGAGAATAGTTCGGCCTAGGCTTAGTAGCCTAGGCCAAGGAGGATCGAGTTGGTTGTGCCAAGGGTGTCGAGAGAATTTCGGGAAGAATGTGGTGTTCACTATAGATTTGCAATCACATATATGCAAGTGAACAAAGGTGCACCACCTAACACAGTTTGTAATAACTACACTAACTACAGCTACAGGCAGTTACAGATATAAACTCTGACACTCCCCCATAACTGCCTGCAGCAGGAGTTTGTGCAGAACACAACCTGCAGGGGTACACAAATAGCAGCAGCAGCAGGTAGGTAGGTAGGTAGTACAGCAGCAAAGGTACAGCAAGAATTCCTGCTATCTCCTCACCCTCCCCCTCCCCCTCCCCCTCCCCCCCACACTGCTGCAGAAGCAGCAGAGGGGGGGAAGAGAGGAGAGGTGGAGGGACGGCTGCTGGATGGTCTCACACCCGCCACTCCAGTGCCACTCCCCCAGCTCCCCCACACCCTCACACCCTCCCCCCAGCGGCAACTGCAGCAGCGGGAAAGAAAGGAGGAGGAGGAGGGGAAGGGAAGTTGGTCTCACACCCGCCATCCCAATGCGACTCCCCCAACTCCCCCACACCCTCACACCCTCTCCCCAGCGGCAGCTGCAGCAGTGGGAAAGAAAGGAGGAGGAGGGGAAGGGAAGCATACCACCCATCACCCCAACACCCGCCACCCCCATACCCTCCCCCCCACGGCTGCAGGGAAACGAAGGAGGAGGGGGTGGGCGGGGAGAAAGCCGTAGAGCGGCTACTGATGGTTGGCGCGGGTAGGTCAGGGGCGGCTTCAGGGAGTGTAGCTGCGGGGTGAGGTTGTGGCGGCTGCACCGAGTGCAGGAGCGAGGGCGACTGCTCCAAGGGCAGGCGCCGGGTGATGCAGGGGCGGCTGCAGCAAGTGCAGGCGCGAGTGAGACACCGCCGAGTGCGCCAGGGGCGGGTACACGGCGGCTCAGGTAGGTAGGTAGGTAGTGCACCGTCGCACGCCACGGGGCGCACGACGGGCAGGGCACCGTCGCGTGCCATGGGGCGTACGACGGGCAGGGCACCGTCGTGTGCCACGGGGCACGCGACGGGCAGTTCAGGTAGGTAGGTAGTTTAGTTCCCCGTCGCACGCCACGGGGCGCACGACGGGCAGGGTAGATGTCACTCGCCATCCTAGGGCGGGACATTTATGAGAAATCGCCACGCAACCTAGGCGCGTGACCGGCAAAGAACAGCAGCGGAAGCATACGGCGGGCCCACAGGCCAGGACGAAACTCGCTCTAATACCATGTCAGAATCAGCAGTAGAAAGTAAGAATGAAGAAAGGAGGGGGATTCACTAGCAAGCAGTTGGATACAAATAGCAAACCCTAACTGGGTTGTACTCGCTATAGAGCACCCCACTGCAGGCTAGATAATATAACATTCTGACATAATCTTGGAAGCCTTGTATCTTGATTTTATATAAATTGTCAAGGAGGATTTATATGATTTTACACACGGTTGCCCGTTGTTATAAGGGCCGTGGTTTTTACATTGGTATCTAGAGCTAAGGTTATCCTAAGCCTAGTGGGGATTTTGCCCCTAGAGATTTTTTTTTTAGATCTTGGAGTTGTGGTTTCTCATTAAGAGAACACTCAAGATCTGGAAGCTTGAAGAGTTCAAGATCTACAAGATCTACAACTGCAACTTCAAGCTAAGAAGAGAGATTTATATCTCTTGCCCACCTTTTGGTGGAAGACTCTCTACTGTTGAGTAGTGGAGTATAAACTTGGATCTGGAGGATTTGTTGAGGGTTATACAAGTTCTCTTTTTGAGATTTGGATAGACCCCGCCCTTTCACTTAGGTGATTGGGAGTATTTGACAACAAATCTGTTACCTTTGGTAACTTTGTATTATTCTGTAGAAGAAATTTCTTTTATAAGAATTTCTTGCTTTACCATTGAGGTGGTAAAAAGACTTTAACAGAATCAACCCAGATCTTACAAGCTCCCTTAATCCTTATGGCATCTGGCTAAGGGAAGGATATGGCAAGGGAGGAAGGGCCCACTGCACCTAATGAGGTGGTGAACAATGCTGCTGAGATTGACCTCAATCAAGATGAGGCAATGGATGACCTTGAGCTGGATGATATTGATGACTTGGACCTGGACCTTGGGGATGAGCATCACCATGGTGAAGCTGAGAACCATGATGAAGCAGAAAACCATGGTGAATCTGATAACCATGGTGAAGCTGACAACCAAGGGGAAGAGGATAACACCAGTGAAAAGGAGAACACTGGTGATGAAAATGACTTCACTGAGAATGAAGGCATGAGTTATCCTATCTCCGAGGAGATTGTCCAACTCCAGGCTAAAGTGGCAACTCAAAATACCACCATCCTGCAGCAGCAGACATCCATTGATGGACTCAAGAAGCACACTCAGGACCTCGAGGCTAGGCTGAGTATTACCATGAAGGAGGTTACTGAGTTCCGTCGCAGCCTGGGCACTAAAAACCGCCAAATTGAGTGGCTTCAGAAAACTTGCAAGAATCTGCAAGCATCATTCAACAAGCTCAATGAGCAGTTCACCCATCTTAGGAGGGAGGGTATTTACGAACCTCCTCCTGGGCGTAGGCCCGCTCCTGCTGCTCAGCCGGCACCCGCTCTGCCCGCACCTCCGGCGGTAGGCGCTGCGACGGCTATGCACCAGCCACCTCCAACCGAGACCTCGCCCTTTGGGTCTCTCTCGGCGCCTCTGCCTGAGTTTAACCATAGCGAGACGGAGGTGCAGCCTTGGCTTGAGCTGGTGCATGACACCATGATCCTTGCGAATGTGCGTCCTGAGGCTCGCGTTACTGCAGCCACTCGTGCATTGGACGAGGTGGCCCGCAGGGCAGTGTATGGCGCTAAGAAGCAGGCGCAGGGACCATTTGGGTGGCCGGAGTTCTGCACTGCGCTGAAAGAGGCATTCATGGTCAAGAAGTCCGACCTGGAACTGCGCGGACGCCTTGAGCGTATCAAGTGTCATGACCGTTCGGTGCAGGAATATGCTGTAGAGTTTGAGGCCGCAGCACGCTCGCTCCGGAAGCCCTTGTCTGAGGAGGAGATGATGCACGTCTTCATGAAAGGCCTCCCTGTCAACCTGCAGGAGGCACACATGACCGGCGGCATGACCAATTGGGCGACTTACAAGGAGATGAAGGAGCAGGTGATCAAAACTGACACCATCATTCGCACATACATCCATGGTCATGCAAAGCCAGACCTGCAGCCCCGTGCAGAGGGCTCTGGTGGTCGTGAAAACCGACCCCAGAATGCCAACGGCGGAGGCGGTTGGAACAAGCGACCCTTCCAGCAGCGTGATCACCAGCCTGGACCACAGGCCAAGAGGCCTAACGGGGGGGAAGGTCATGGCCCTAACAAGCCCGACTTCTCCAAGATGAGGTGTAACGGCTGTGGAAGGATGGGACACATCCAAAAGCTCTGCCGTGACAAGAACGCTATCAAGTATTATGGGAAGCCTAAGCCAGGCGGCGCTGGACCTTCTGGAAAGAAGGATTTTCATAAGCCCAACTAGGGTGTGGGTACCTAGTTGGAGGAGTAGATCGAATGGATGAGGCATATGTGTTATGTGATGATGATATATTAAAGCTAGAGAAGCTTGCTGATTGCAAAGTCTCTTGTTTGTTTGCCTCTTCTTTTAATAAAGACTCTGTTTTTTATCCTCGATCGTACCCACTTGAGAAAATTTCCATGGAAGCAATGCAAGAAATATTTTCAATTATTTTCTGTGGCTTGGACATTCTGCCTTCTGTCATTGAGATTGTGAGTCGTTGCACTCAAGAGCACCCCCTGACTTCGGTCGCGGTGGTGACTCGCACAGTGAAAGGCGAATTGTTCCATGCGCTTCGTGGATGGCCGGTCCTAGCGGTGTGGGACAAGGGACACCATGTGTGGTGGACCAAATCTCAGTCACATGGACGCGCTCGTCACAACGTCAAGGCGTACTTTAAACCTTCGACGAGTATTGTGGCATGTCCTATTCGCCCAAAGCATCAACAAAATTTGTTCCTCGCGGGTAGCGTGAACGGGGAAAACGCAAAAATCCTTGTTGACACGGGTGCAACTGTTTCCCTCTTTGACGAAAAGTGGGCCACAGCACGCACGATCCTCGTTGAAGGACCGTCTTGCCCCATTTGCCTGGGAGATGATAGCATCATCCCAAGCAAAGGGCAGACACGGATCAACATGGAGATTGAGGGTTATCACGAAGAGATCTGCGCGTATGTTTTACCCCTTCTCGCAGGCGTCGACCTTGTCCTCGGAATGGATTGGCTTCGAGTGAATGAAGTCAAGCTCGATTTCTAGGACAATACTGTCTCATTCTTAAAGAATGGTGACACTGTCCAGTGGCAAGTGCCTAAGGACTTGATCACGAACGACGAACCCACGTTGGAACGCCCCGACGTGAGTTTTGCGCTCGCAAATGAGTTCGGACAGCATGTTCGACAAGCTGATACATTCTTTGTGGTACAGCTTGAGAATGCTGAACACGAACTGCCTGGGGTCAAGGATTTCCCGCCTCAGATTAAAGCACTGGCAGACGAGTTTGCGGAGGTTTTTGAGCCCATTCGAGATGGCCTTCCTCCGGACCGTGCTGTTGGTCACACCATCCCAGTGGAGCCTGGAAAGCTCCCACCGTTTAGACCTCTGTATCGCCTCAGTCCAGCTGAGTACAAGGAGACTAAACAACAAATTGAGGAGTACCTCAGGAAGGGATGGATTCAACCAAGCGCATCACCTTACGGAGCGCCGATCTTGTTCGTGAACAAAAAGAGCGGAGGGCTACGCATGTGTGTAGACTACCGTGCTTTAAATAAGATAACAGTGAAAAACAGATACCCCCTCCCAAGGATTGAGGATCTGTTTGACAAACTCCAAGGTGCCCAATGGTTCAGCGCGTTGAACCTCGCGCAGGGGTATCACCAATTGCGCATCACTGAAGAAGATGTACCCAAAACGGCTTTCCGATCGGCGTTTGGTCATTTTCAGTGGCAAGCGCTGAGCTTTGGCTTGACCAATGCTCCGGCCTCTTTTCAGAGAGCTATGAATGATGTCTTTCGCGAGGCGATTGGACAGTTCGTTCTAGTCTATCTGGATGACATCTTGGTTTATTCCAAGACGGAAGAGGAGCACACGCGACACCTTAAGTGGGTGTTAAGGAAACTCCGAGAGCATACGTTCTATGCTCGCCTATGGAAATGTCATTTCTACAAACGCGAGTTGGAATATCTTGGCCATCTCGTGGGAAATGATGGTCTCAAAGTAGACCCAAAGAAAGTTGTCGCAGTCCAAAACTGGCCGGTGCCACAAGATGTGGGTCAAATCAGGTCGTTGTTGGGACTGGCGAACTATTTTCGTCGATTCTTGCAGAATTATTCTACCATTGTTGCCCCATTGACGGCCCTCACTTGCAAGAGTAGCGCTTGGCAATGGACACAGCAATGCCAAAAGGCATTCGGCGAGGTCAAGCGAATGCTGGCCAACGCTCCGGTGCTGGTTTTACCAGATCCGACGAAACCCTATGAGGTTGTTACCGACGCCTCATTGATAGAGATTGGGGATGTCCTCTTGCAAGAGGGGAGACCAGTGGCATTTGAGAGTCGAAAGCTCTCCCCGGCAGAGCAGCGCTATACGACGTCTGAACAGGAATTGTTGGCGGTCGTTCATGCGCTACGCACATGGCGTTGTTATCTGGAGGGTGTGGATTTTGTGGTTACGACCGACCACTGTCCAAACACCTACTTTTCCACTCAAGCCACGCTTACTTGACGTCAAGCCCGATGGGCGGAACTCCTTAGTGGGTTCACTTTCGATATTCGATATCGAGCAGGTTCGATGAACCTGGCTGACCCCCTCAGCAGACAGCCGATAGGGGCAGCAACACGGCTAGATGATACGGAGGATGCGGCAGTATTTTCTGCTTGCTTCAGTGTCTTAGCAACGGCTCGAGTGAGTGAGATTACCTTCAGTGGTTTTCTGAAACGCATCCGCATAGGGTACCAAATTGACTCCTGGTTTCAGAACCCACAGAACATGAAGGAACTCAAGTGGGAGCATGAGCTCTGGTGGCGTAAGAAAGAGATTGTTGTACCTCACGTGGGTAACCTGCGGAATGACATTCTGGAAGAAGTGCATGCCACCAAGTACGGAGGACACCTAGGGGTCAAGAAAACCAGGTGGGCCTTGAGTGATGTGTACTGGTGGCCGGGATTGGGCACTGAGGTCCAGCAATTCGTGGCGCGTTGCGACGCATGCGCACAAAATAAAACGGACACAAAGAAGTCAGGTGGTTTGCTTCAACCACTCGAGATCCCGAATGAACCTTGGGAGAGTGTATCCTTGGATTTTATCACGGACCTTCCTAAGACTCGCGATGGCCATACAGCGATCCTAGTGTTTGTGGATCGTCTGACAAAAATGGTGCATTTCGTGGCTACTACAACTGACGTATCCGCGGAAGATACGGCCAAATTGTTTGTGGCGCACGTTTTCCGCTTACACGGGTTACCACGTGTATTGGTGTCCGACAGAGATCCGCGCTTCACAAGCCGGTTCTGGTAAGAAGTCACACGGACACTAGGGACGAAGCTCAAGATGTCATCAACGTTCCACCCACAAACAGATGGGCAGACAGAACGAACAAACAGGACACTTGAGCAGATGCTTCGTTCATTCATTGGCCCAACTCAGGATGATTGGGACGAGTTGTTGCCTGTCGTTGAATTCGCAGTGAACAATTCAGTTCATGAAGGTACACGTGAGAAACCTTTCATTCTGAACTATGGTCGGCATCCCACAACATCTGCTACGCATGGGATCGGTGGATTGAAAATTCCAGCCGCTAAAGACTCTGTTGGCAAGCAGCAAGAAGCGCTTAAGTCTGCTCGCCATTGGCTGCAACTCTCTCAGCAGCGACAAAAGTCTTACGCCGACATGAAACGCTGGGAAGTCTCGTTTGAGGTTGGAGACAAAGTTTTGTTGAGCACGAAGAACATTCGTCTCAAAATCCCTGGAGCACGAAAGCTGTTCCCTCAATGGATTGGGCCATTCGAGTTGATCAAGCGTGTTGGCGTGGTGGCCTACAAGCTTAAGCTACCTGATACGCTACTGATTCACGACGTCTTCCACGTGTCTCTGTTGAACAAGTACGTTGCAGAGGGCAAGTACTTGCCGCCACCAACGATCGTCCTTGGGGAGGAGCTGTTTTATGAAGTCGAACGAGTGCTGATGCATCGTGATTGACAGCGTGGCCGCAAGACAATACGAGAGTTCCTCATCAAGTGGAAAGGCTATGGGCCTGAACACAACTCATGTGAACCAGAAGAGCATCTGACTGAAACTGCAGTTCAGTCATACATGACAGATCTGGCCCGACGAGCTGCCACACAACCGGTGGATGGTGTTGACCCTGGTCGTAATGTGACACGGCGTGCTCGTAGCGCTCGTCCTAAGAAGCACCCTAAGGCAACGGGGACGTTGCCACCTAGGGGGGGAGGAGTGTAACGCACCACCTAACTTCTTCCTAGTCTAGGTCGAGAAATGTCTCGACACAAATCGGACTACGGGAGTTGAAGGTTGAGTTGGGAGAGAAAGGTTGGCTTGGTATTCCAAACCTCAACTTTGAGGCTAGGGACTTTCCAACCCAACAAAAGTGAAGATTGGGAAGTTTTCCAACCCAACCAAATTGTCAAACATTATATATGTGTTATTGTTGTGTAGGCTGTAGTGGGTTAGCCTTTTAGGGGTACACAACTCAAGGGTTTCATACTTGTACTCCAATGTTTCATAGTTCAATCACTTCTGGATTCTGACATGGTATTAAGAGCTTAGGTTCTAGACCTAAGGGCCCACCGTTCCGCTAGAGGTGCCCTCGTGCGCCCTTTTTTTTAGTGCCCTCGTGCGCCTCTCCCCTAGTGCGCCCTCGTGCGCTCTCCTCTCACGCTGCTCGTGTGCAGCGCGCTAGCAGCCCGAGCGCGGCCCCGCCGTTTTAGCGCGCGTAGGAAAACCGTCGCCTAGGGCGGCCCGATTTTTTCTCGCGAGCCCCAGCAGGCCGTCGCCCGTAGGCCCCGCTCGCCCCTAGGCCGACGCGCGACCCTCAGTCGCCCGCCCCCAGGTCCCAGCCAGCGCGCCCAGAGCGTCGCAGCCCCGCCCGTAGGCCGCCGCGACGCTCCTCTAGGCCGCCGCCCGCGCGCTAGTCAGGCCCACGCACAGCCGCGGCCCGCCCGCTACAGCCACCCACGCGCACGCCCCTCGTCGCGCACCGCCGCGTAGCCCAGCCCGAGCCGAGCCGCGCCGCCCGAACCGAGCCGCGCCGCCCGACTTGAGCCGCGCTGCCCTACTGTGCCCCACCTGCAGCAACTCCTGTTCCTGTTCCTATCGTACTACTGCTGCTACTGCTGCCACTATGGCCACTCCCTCTATTCTCACCTTTAACGCTGAGGGCCGCCCGATTAAGTTTGAAGTTTGGTTAGATGACCTCCACCTGTTCCTCCACATCATTACCAAGGACGATGT